TAAGTTAACCATCTTAAATGAATGAAAGTAGGCGACTCTAAGAAAGAAGTAAATCTGTATCAGTCCTCACAAGTCGATGATCAAAACTGTAATACTAAACCGAACACACAAGGCAAACTGACGATGTAAATAACAAGCCTGAGTCGGGGGAAGAAAATAGCCTTTGTCCACCCAAGAACAAACTACAAGACGGCAGTTGTTTGATTTTGTAGTTGTCTCTCCTAGACCTAGAAGAGTGGCTGTCCTCAAATGACCAGAACAGCGTGACCACGGTCTACTATTCATGTACAGCCTCACATCTTCAGTAGAAAAACTGTTTAGTCTGCCAAAACATTTCACTTTTCTATTTCACTGGGCCTACACATCTTCTAAAATCTCCCTTCGTTTATGTAATATGGGCTCGATCAGATCAGACTGAAGATAAGCTAGGACCCTTAGGGTGAATACTTGGGAGGCAAAGTGCTTATAATGGGCGGTGAATGGTTTATAATGGGTGGTGAATGGTTTTCTCGGCCTAAACTAGCAAAAAATTACTTTTAAAAACAACATAACTACCATTGAACCGCCGGGTTTTTAACGAAATCATTTAAGACTCTTAATGTCAAGTCTCTGAATTAGCGTATGCATTTACTCTGGTGTTCTTTTAACTAATAATTTATATGATTTGGTTTTTATTTTTCTAATAGGTATTGGTAGTCTATGTTATTTTAAATGTGTCGGATTTTTAGCTATTTGGTTATTTCTTTGCTTTGTCCCTAATATCGTTCAACGTGTAGTAAAGCACATTGCGTTTTGACCAATAACTATTTTATCAAATATCTTTCTCAAGCAAGTATATCATTAAAATATATAGGCTGATAATTCACGTCTAATGGGTACCGACGGCTAGTGTTGTATAACCCTCGTACCTCGGTTTAAGCAAAAGATTTTGCCGACTTATATCAGAGTGTACACTTTGTTCTGAACAGCTCTGCCAATGAACCTGCCCGCGACCTCTTGTGAAGACTGATACAGAGTTACAATATAAATACTACTTTCTTAAATGTAGCCTACTTTCATTCTTTTAAGATGGCTTACTTATACATAGATCAAATACAAAGCGTCTAATTAATTTTTTTTAGACTGAAAATGCAAATGTGTAATTAAATGATGATTCAAGGAATTTTTTTCCATCGGCGTGGTGAACTGATTTGGTTTGGGATATTAAATAGAGCTGAAAAGCATTAGGGATTACAGTAACATAAAATTATACACATTTTATTGGCAACCAGAATGTTATGTTGAATACAATTAGACATATATTATTATTTTAATTTTTTTTTTTCCGTTGGCGTTTAATATTGATCCTCTCTTGCTGCTTTCCCTTCCCAAGGGTTGGCAGCAAGAGTAGGTTTGCATAAAATAATAATCATTAAAAAAGTTTTAAAAAACCCACGTTTTCTGATTGAACTAAAAAGTAGAAAATAAATGCTATAGGCCCTACATCACAATAATGCAAGCGATCACTCTACTATAAGCGAGCAAAAACGTGGGGCGCCGTGATTTTCTTACAGTTTCTAATACTGTTGACTCTCTACAAGCTCCCTAATAAAAGTCAATAGTATTATCTAATCAATAGTAATATAACTTTTACTTCGGCGCCCCACGTTTTTGCTCGCTTATAGTAGAGTGATCGCTTGCATTATTGTGATGTAGGGCCTATAGCATTTATTTTCTACTTTTTAGTTCAATCAGAAAACGTGGGTTTTTTAAAACTTTTTTAATGATTATTATTTTCTACTTTTTAGTCTTTGTCTGTTTGTTTGCATTAAAATCTTGCTATCGATTTTATCTTTTCACTTTTTTTGGGTAAACGAAGACAACTCGTAAAAAGACAACTCGTAAAAAGACAACTCGTAAAAAGACAACTCGTAAAAAGACAACTCGTAAAAAACACGTTGTTTGAATACGTTACTGACTAGAACACATAGATTTGAACCCGTGTCGAGTGGGATAGCAATCGTGTGCCCAACCACTCGACCATATCGTCTCCCCCAAACTGGCCTACCTCCTGTAAGTTTAAACTCGGTTCAAGCTAAATTCTCTGCCCCTAAGCCTGTGGCGACATGTGATCGTTCGCTTCACTGCGCGCGAGGTACGCGTCGCTGGTTTTTTTTCTAATGGCTAGCAGAGGAGAATTATATATATAGATTATATAGCGGTCTAAAATGCTCAATAAAATGTTTCCATTGATCAATTTAGTAATAATAACAATTGAAAATTCAATGGTCATCCAAAAGAAAGCTTCCCTGAAAATTTCAGCGCGCTAGCTAACTGGGAAGTGCCAGAAATTTCGATCGCAAGATTTGATTGGAAAGACAAACAAATAAACACACAGAGAAAGCAAGTTAAAGAAAACGTGGGAAAATATATACATATAATACAAGTTGCAACATGTGTAATACAAAACGTCTATAAAGTTAACAGAGTTCTATGTTAAAAGAGCCTACTCTAAAAAATGTGAAACGTTTCTTATATCATCTTTCTGCTCCTGGGTCAAGAGATCAGAATGGTGTGCTTCCATATGCTGAAGAAAACTTCATTCTTGCAGGAGTACATCACAAAAGCAACAACTTGTTAAAATTTCATTATGTTTTACCTGACAGTGTTTTGCTATGTTATTGTGCACAATTGTATCCTTACATGTGTTGCACTGTTTCAATTTAACGTGTTCTGCATTTTCATGCTCTCTAGCTTCCTTGATTGTTTGGTATGACTTAGGGCAGAAAAGGCAGGTTCGACGATTATATTTTTGTTTCGTGAATTCTTGAGGGCTTGTTACTTCCCCTTGTACCAACTTTTCGGTTTTTTTACTCTTCGATTTTAGCTCTGCCTCTGTAGTTTTTAGAATTTTAACTGTTTTTGTGTATGGGGGGCTATCTTCCTTTTTCCTTTTTGATTGTGTGCTGTCACTCATTTCTACACTTAGGCTAGGGTCGTTAGTTTTATAGGTTGGCGTCGCCGTAAACGTAAAAGTGTTCGGGCTCAGTGCGAGTGGTGAAGCAAAATTTGGTATGGGTACTTTTGATGCAGTTGAAATGATGGTTGAAGATTCCGTTGTGCTTGTACTTGAGGTTGTTGGTTCATTAGCTGTATTTGCTTGTACTTGAGGTTGTTGGTTCATTAGCTGTATTTGCTTGTACTTGAGGTTGTTGGTTCATTAGCTGTATTTGCTTGTACTTGAGGTTGTTGGTTCATTAGCTGTATTTGCTTGTTGGCTGCTTGGTGTTGTTGCTGGCTGGGCGGGTGGCGCTGGGTTTTGTGCTGGAGGCTGTTGTTTGGGCGGTGTTTTTGGGTTCGATTCTGCATCTTTGATTGAGGGGTATTGGTGGTTGCTTGGCATAGAGGCTTGTGGAGCGGGTGCAGCTGCATTATTTGCTGGTGTTTGATCACTGGCCATTGATTCTGGGTTGATAGCTTGACAGCGGTTGGTCCAGTGTGAAGTTGACGAGCAGGTTTGGCAGGCTTGCTTTCTATCGTTGATGGCTATTAGCATGTTGAGTGATTTGTTTTTGTAGTTTATTTGAATGTAGTGGGGGATGGTAGCTGGGTTGTCAGTGTATATGGAGAAGCTACGGTTGGTGGTGTGAGGGATGGTGGTTATGGAAGGTTCTTTGTTGCTGTAGGGTTGTAGTGCTTGTATGAGTGTGCGATCGTTGAGTGTGGGTGGGACCCATCTAAGGGTTCCGTTTATTCTGTCCTTTTCGTGTAAAGTGAAGTGTAGCGTATATGGGCCGTATGTTTTTTGTGTATTGTGTAGAGTGGTGACGTCGAAGGCAGTTGATGAAAAGAACCAAGTGTCTGCACGACCGTAGTTGAGGAGGAAGATCTGTTGATTGCTTATTAGTTGGCGGAGGATATGACCTCTCAGATTGGGTTGACCTCTTGAGTCGATTGTGACCTGGATAATGGGTGAGTCAGCAGGGAAAGGTTCCGGACAGTCTTCTTCAGGTAGATCCAATATGGCGGTTGTGGCTGAAAAGGGTTGGACCCTGGATTTCATTAAACCCCCCGGACCGTAGTCCGGGTGGCTCCTCCCCAAGTGTCTCGACCCAAGGGGAACATCCAAGGGCGCAACCCCTTTGCTGGCGTAGACTATATTTGCATATGTCGTCGAGCTAGGCTGTGACATTGTTGGATGAGTATAGGTTATCACTTGATCTTGCCAAAAGGCCGAGAAGCGATTAATTTTTTATGCTTCAAATCTAATATATAAAAAAAATTTCTTAGTAGAAAATAAAAGCTCAAGTAGGGAGAATAATTGAACATAAATAAATAGAAATGCACGTTATTAATTGTCTGTGAGATATAAATTAAGCATGGTTTAATAAAATTGTTTACAATAAATTTAGAAATATATGAAAGTATTAGTAAGCTAATTTTTACAAAATATTTGCTACACTTATATTCAACAATTAACATGCTGTATTACACTTCTATTATTACGACTATTGTAAAACAAATTTAACATATGTATGTCTAAAAGTTCTTGTTTTGTATTTTTTTTTGTTTCTCTCCCTTAGTCTGGGCGATACAGCCCCCTTAAGGGAGATAATGTTACATATTCAATGTTTTTCTTTATAAAAATGCTACCTAATACAAACTTCCGTATTTCAACTTTGTTTGATAGGAGCACCAACAACTACTTGAACTACTTAAACTTGAAAACCTCATTCATATGAACATAATACTTGAAAACCTCATTCACATGAACATAATACTTGAACTAATGATTAACTCGAGCACCAACAACAACTTGAACATAAAGCTTAACTACTTAAACTTGAAAACCTCATTCATATGAACATAATACTTGAACTAATGATTAACTCAAGCACCAACAACAAATAGAACATAAAAATTGAACATTATATGAACTTAATACTGAAAGTAAAGTTAAACTTGAGCTTGTCAATCACATAACTTTTCTTCTGTTTTTTTTTTTTTTATCAGCTCTACCTATGAACCTGCCCGCGACCTCCGTGACGTCATGGATGTCCGACCTAGTGGCCAACACCAGCCTGAAGCAGCTGTCCGAGAAAACCATCCACCGCAGCAAGAAGATGCTGCTGGACACGCTGGGGGTCGGGATCCTGGGATTCCAGACGGACATCGCCCAGACGATCGCCAAGACGTGCGTGGGGCTGGAGCACTCGGTGGTGACGTCAGGGAGGAACAGTCTGTCGGGGTCGGTGCTGTGGGGGTCAAAGAACATGAGGGCGTCACCTGCTACAGGTACGTTTCGTGTGACATTATATTTTTAATTAATTATCTTTTAATTAATTTTCTTAAAATTTTTGTGGAGTTTTCTGAAAATTTAAATAACTCCGTCTTCTCTTTATCAGCTGCCTACGTCAATGGCGTCAGCATACACTCCATGGACTTTGACGACACCTGGCATCCTGCCACCCACCCAAGTGGACCCACCCTCCCCGCCATCATCGCATTGGCCGAGTCCATGACGGGTGACATGCGTCCGTCTTTAGAACAGGTCCTGGTCGCCTACAATGTAGGAATCCAAGTTCAAGGTCTTCTGCTGAGGTCATCGTCCTCGGCGAAAAGTATCCCCTACAGGTTAGGGAGATAGTGGGGAATTTTTTAACTGTCAGATCAATACGCAGTTCAACAGCATTAATTATGCTAATTATTTAACGAGATTAAGGATTTATCGGTTGTGTTTTATTAACGCCGGGTTGTTTTGTTTTTCTAATTTTTTTAAAATGTAACCTACCTACTCTTTAATATTTTTCTCCTTACATTCGGGGATGGGAGCGGGCGAGGTTGCAATAGGACTTGGGATTTGGATATGGACTAGAGTTAAGGTTAAGGTTTTGGTTAGAATTTATTTTTTTAGGTTTTTTATGCTTTTGGTTAGGGCTTCTTTTTGCGACATATTATTATTTTCTAAAATAAGTTCTTGGTGTAGTTGTCAGTTGTTGATTTTTTTTTTTTTTGGATTGGCTGTTATTACAATAAATTATCCATTATTTTATACTTTACTTATATTTCAAAACGTCATATTAAAGGTATTTTAAAAATCAATTTAGAACGTACGCTAAACACTCAATAAGTAAGTAAACTCTACAATTGCAGTGTTCTAAACCTACATTAAAAATCATTCACTTAATAATATAATTGACATCCGTATTTATATACTACTTAGACTAATAAAAAGCAATTAAATGTGTTTGAATCAATCCAAAACTCAATAGTACAAAAGCTTTTAAAATTAGTCTAATTTGTTTTTTTTAAATTAAGAAAAGAAAACAAAGTTAAATTTTTGGTCATAACTTTTTTGCAAATATATATAACGTTGTAACATACGATGGTCAGTTGTGGTTTTTTTTTTCATGAAAGGTTTCACCCCCCTGCCGTTGTTGGCGTGATGGGTAGCGCCGCCGCCTGTTCAAACCTTCTTGGGTTCGGTCCTGAGAAAAGCAGAAACGCCCTGGGCATCGCGGCGTCGTTTGCTGGTGCCCCGATGGCCAATGCCGGAACAACAACAAAACCGCTGCATGCCGGGAAAGCTGCCAGGTAAAGTAGAATCTATCACGTGTTACAAAATTAAATTTTTAAAAATTACTGGGACGTTTAAAAGTAAGTTATTTTAATAGGGCAGTGGCGTAGCGAGGTCGGGTGTCACCCGGTGCGGCACTTAATGGTGTCACCCCCCCCCCAGAGGCATAGAGACCCTTACCAGGGACAAACTTTCAAACTTTCGATTTGCACCCCCCCCCCCTCAAACTTTCGCTTTGCACCCCCCCCCCCCCCTCGAGTTTTCGATTTGCAACCCCCCCCCCTCAAACTTTCGATTTGCACCCCCCCTCGAGTTTTTCTCTATATATTTTGCTATTTTTTGCCTTGGTGTCACCCCCCTAAATGGTGTCACCCGGTGCGGTCCGCACCCCCCGCCCCCCCTCCCCCCTCGCTACGCCCCTGTAATAGGGTAATCTTTATTCGAGGACGAAAATCTAATTTATTTAGTAACTCTACATTTTTAATGACTATGGGACTTCCCTGAGTCCACTCAGCTCTGATGGATACTTCACATACGTTGGAGAAAGTAAAAGCGACTGAGCATAGTGCTGACCCTTCATATGCCAAGTTCAAGAAACCTATGAACTCTACTTCATCTGCCCAACAAATCGATATTTCTAATAAGGAATCGTTACTTGTTTATATTTAATATATGTGTTATTTTCTTAAAACCTTTCCCCCATTTTGTCTCCATTACCTCAAGGTTTGGCCTGGAAGCGGCACTTCTGGCTGACCAAGGTATTGAAGGCAACAGCAACATCCTAGACATGCCCTCAGGGTTTGGGGCTTTCTACGACGACTTCGATCCTGAGGCGTTGCTTGAGGGTGAAGAATTTATCCATTTTAACCCAAAATTACCTCAAAACAAACCTTTTAAAAAAAATATAAATTTTTTTTTTTTTAAAACTCACTTCAGACAATAAGTTATAATTATAATATGTGTATCTGACAGAGAACTATTGCAACATCGAGTTCCATAAATAACTCTGTGTTCTATAAATAACTCTAATGTCTTAGTTCTATAAATAGCTCTAATGTCTGTGTTCTATAAATAACTCTAATGTCTGTGTTCTATAAATAACTCTAATGTTTGTGTTCGATAAATAAACCTAATGTCTGTGTTCGATAAATAACTCTAATGTATGTATGCTATAAATAGCTCTAATGTCTGTGTTCTATAAATAAACCTAATGTCTGTGTTCGATAAATAACTCTAATGTCTGTGACTCCAAAATCAAACAACTGCTGTCTTGTAGTTTGTTCTTGGTTGGACAATGGCTATGGAAGCAAATCCAAAAAGAAAAGCAGGCTGAAATCGGAGTCAATGGCCTTAATGGCGCATAACTAGTTGACACGTATCCTTAATTGTGATGGAGGCATGGTCAAGTCGGCAAACCTCATGGTTGTTAAATTCGAAAAAGTCTCGAGTTCAAACCCTCTGACAGATAAGACTTAATCCCTTCCAACACTAAAAAATTAAGAACGAAGAAGAAGAAGAAGAATGTCTGTGTTCTATAAATAACTAATGTTTCTATAAATAACTCTAATGTCTGTGTTTTATAAATAACTCTAATGTCTGTGTTCTATAAATACCTCTAATGTCTGTGTTCTATAAATAACTCTAATGTCTGTGTTCTATAAATAACTCTAATGTCTGTGTTCTATAAATAACCCTAATGTCTGTGTTCTATAAATAACTCTAATGGCTGTGTCCAAGAACACTGTGTTCTATAAATAACTCTAATGTCTGTGTTCTATAAATAACTCTCATGTTTATGTTCTATAAATAGCTCTAATGTCTGTGTTCTATAAATAACCCTAATGTCTGTGTTCTATAAATAACCCTAATGTCTGTGTCTGACAGAGAACTACGGCAACCCCGAGTTCCTGCTCCACACACAAGACATCGCCCTCAAGAGATTCCCCGCCCACCTCGGCATGCACTGGACAATTGATGCCGCCTTGGCAGTCCGCGCCAACATCACGGATCAGCTCGAGTCGTTCAGTGCTCAGAACATCAAGAGTGTTCTCATCAGGGCTCCACAGTAAGTCTAATTAGGGCTACACAGAAAGTCTTAGTAGGGCTCCACAGTAAGTAAAGTAGGGCTCCTTAAGTAAGTTTTAGTAGGGCTCCACAGTAAGTCTCATCAGGGCTTCACTCTAAGTCTTAGAAAGGATCCACAGTAAGTTTTAGTAGGACTCTCAATAAGTTTTAGTAGGGCTCCTTAAGTAAGTTTTAGTAGGGCTCCACATTAAGCTTTAGTAGGGCCCCACTGTAAGTTTTAGTAGGGCCCCACAGTAAGTCTCATCAGGGCTCCACTATAAGTATTAGAAAGGATCCACAGTAAGTTTTAGTAGGACTCTCAATAAGTTTTAGTAGGGCTCCTTAAGTAAGTTTTAGTAGGGCTCCACAGTAAGTTTTAGTAGGGCTCCTAAGTAAGTCTTATTAGTACTCATCAATAAGTTTTAGTATGGTTCCTTAAGTAAGTTTTACAAGGGCTCCTTGGTAAAGCTCATTAGGGCTCCACAGTAAATCTTAGTAGGGCTCCTCAATAGATTTCGTTGGGCTACACAGTAGGTATTAGTAGGGCTCCACAGAAATACATTTAAATTTGAAAACCATTTATCTTCGGTGAAATTAACAATAGCAGTAAGTATCTCAAGAGTCAATATTAAAAGAAAATTGATTTTTTTTAAACGACAGCTCCAAATACATCAACCGCCCGCTCCCCTCCACCATGCACGAGGCCCGCCACTCGTTCCAATTTAACGCCTGCACGGCCCTGCTGGACGGTCACGTGACCCCACAGTCCTACCACAACAGCAACAGGTCACGTGAGCTGCTCGCGGAGCTGCTGAGGAAGACGCAGGTGGAGAGTCCCGAGGACAACAAGCCATCTTTCAACGAGATGTACGTCGAGGTGCAGGTCAAGCTCTTGGTGAGTTACTTCCCCTTTCAGCAATAGAGGTGGTAGATTACTTCCCCTTTCAGCAATAGAGGCGCCCGCATCTGACGAGTTGGGTTTCAACCATTATTGTTGTTGACATGGATAAATTTTTTAAATGTGTTGTTGCATTTTATATTTAGCCATCAAAATGGCAGTTAAAAAAAATTAAGCTTGAAAATAATTCAGAAATTTAATTTTTTTTTTTTTTAAATTAATGAAAAAACAAGCTGCAAAGCCAGAGAACTTTAGAATAAGTTTTTGAGTTTAATATATATTTTCATCACGCCTAAGTTATAACCCGAAGTTTCACTTTCATAAATTAAAAAAAAAGACTGGCTGTAAAGAACGCTGTGATAGGTATTCTAAAACGCTACTTCATAGAAAACATTCCGTAATTTGTTCTCAAAACTTTGCCGATGCAATTTTAAAAAACAATTCAGCCATGAATATTGTCATTTTGAGGATAAAATATGTAAACAACTGTAGACCAGTGTTTTAAGGCTATTTTTTTCTTATGTGGTCATTTGAAACCACCAGGGTGTGGGGGGGGGGGGCGACTAAATTTTACAGAGGATAGAGATCATACTGTTGATGTATATATTTGTTATAAAAGTTGTATTTCTTTCGGAGGGGGGGGGGCGGTAGACGTGCTTCGGGTTGGGATCACTGACCCCCCAACCCCCACCCAAAAAGATGCCTGAAAGAAACCCTGCTGTGGACTTCATTCAAGCGCTTACACAGAATCTTTTTGGTTTTTATTCCATTTTTAGAATAAAACCAAAAACATTCCTGTTTCTGAACAATGGTTTATCAAAATCACTATTGCGAACAAAATCTCTATACTCTATACAGATAGAATATAGTTTGAAATTTTTTTTTTTTTATAACTTTACAACTTTGCAAATTTTATATTGATTGATTGATTTTAAACCCCAGGACGGGTCAGAGATCACAGGTCGCTGTGACACGCCTTACGGCCACTGGCGAAACCCGTTAAGCGACGCTGACGTCATCAACAAATTCAACGCCAACACCAGCACGATGACGCACGGCAACAAGGAGCAGATCATCCGCACGGTCAGACACATGGCGCCAACAGAGAAGGCTTCAGACTTGGCCAAGCTGCTCTACTCTTATTAATTCCTCTACGGGTTGTCGGGTTGTACATAGGGTTGATGCCGGGGTGTATATATTATTTGAACGGGTTGTACATTAGGTATTCTATATTTATGATATTTCGAATTTATGTAAAGAAGATTTTCGCTATGTTGATTTACATATATTTTTATTGGGTATACATTTTTGTTTTTATTTTGTTTTATTTCGTTAAATCTCGTGCTCAATGCTATCTTTACATGTAGCCTGTGACTACAAATATATATACTTCATTATGTAATGTAGCCTATGACTGGCACCATACTACATACTTACAATTCATTTTTTGACGATTTTTACTTCCCCCCCCCTTCCATCCGTCACACATCGTCACAAAAAGCCTGAACCCCCCCCCCCCCTAAAATGACGCCACACCCCAGCCCACACCCCCCCCCCCCCCTTGAAAATAGTTGAATTTAATTTTTTTTCTTTTTCTCTCTTTTTACTTTCTCGTATATACGAAGTATAGAGAAAGTATTGTAATCGTGCAAAAAAAAAATCGAGATTTTTACAGATCTCGACGTTTTACACCTCACTGATACGAAAAAACATAATTTTGCAATCTTGTCCGTATGTCTGTGTGTGTGTCTGTGTGTCTGTGTGTCTGTGTGTCCGTGTGTAAACACGATAATTTGAGTACCGTTACAGCTAGGTTGATGAAATTTCATATATAAGTATTTTATCAAAATCGTAGATCCATATCAACTTTTGAGCGATTTCCGATAACCGGAAGTGGTACTTTTCCTACTTTGAATTTTTCAAAAGCCTATAACTTGAGTACTATTTCAGATAGATAAATGAAATTTCACATGTAAGTAAAAGATCTAATTCTCTACCTTCTGTAAAATTTTGAGTAATTTCCGTTGACTGGAAGTAGTAATTCACGCTACTTCTGATTTCTCAAAAAAACTAATGTAAATTTTAAAAGTACTAATAATATTGCGCACTATTTTTAAAACTTAAGTATTTAAAATGGATTAAAAATCATGTCTATAGCCCGAGTTCCCATCCCCTGTTATTTTATATAAGAATATTCGAGAAAGTTTAGGGGAGATCACTCCCGGTTTATTTTTTTTTGTCTCAGACATGTAATTTATGTAATTTACAGCGTCAGTTGTGTGTGTTCGCTTTAGTATTACAGTTGTCAACGTCGTCTTGTGAGGACTGATACAGATTTACAATAGTAATATTTCTTTCTTACTTGTAGCCTACTTTCATTCATTTAAGATGGTTTACTTATACATAGATCTAATTTCTGATACAAACGTCTAAATATAAAAAAAAATCAAAAATTTAAAAAAAACCAACCTGAAAATGCAAATGTGTAATTAAATGATGATTCGAGGGATTTTTTTTTCCCTCGGCGTGGTGGGTGATTTAAGTATTTTTTTTTTTTTTGCCGTCTGGCGTTTAATAGATTTCCTTACTCACTGTCTATCCTTTTCGCGCAGGGAGGCAGTAAGAGAAGGTTGCATGATTATATACATGAAATATTAAAATAGTTCAATACATGGCATTGCATTCAATTATACATAAGCGTTTACAAAACGTCTATTTTTTTCTATGGTGTACACTTGTATGTGCCCTCATGCTCTCTAGTGGGAGGGATAAGTTACAATCTCGACAGTCATACATCGTTTCTTCCCGATTATTTTCTGCATAGTGTGTACGTATATCTGTGTAGTGCCCTTTGTCTGCACAAAGATGACACTGTAAGAGTCCGTAGTGGGTACCTCGTTCGTGCTTTTCCCTTTCCCTGGTTGTTCTATATTGTTCTAAGCAGAACCTGCAGTGTTTGAAGTCATGAAATAATTTTTTACTTTTTGTTATTTTCTTTTCTTCTGTGGGGCTATCTTCCTTCTTCCTTTTGAAGGTTGTAGTAATGTCCATATCTGAGAACGAGAGCAGAGTGTTCGTTTTTAGGGTTGAAGATGCAGATGGTTTGTCTGATTCCGACCTTGCTGCGCCTGTTTGTTTGCTAGGTGTTGTTGGTATACTTGGCGGCTTGGATGGGTTGATCGGTATCTTGAGCGATGTTTATTGGTTGCTTGTTGTTGGAGGTGGCTTGGCGATTGGTGCTGTTTGTTGGCTGCTTGGTGCTGGTGCTGGCTGGGCGGGTGACGTTGGTTTTTGTGCTGGTGGCTGTTTTTTGGGCGGTGTTTTGGGGTTTGATGGTATGTCCTTGATGGGAGAATTTTGGTGACTGCCTGGCATGGGAGGTTGTGGAGTAGGTGGTGCCGCTGTTTGTGTTGATGGTTGATTCCTGGGCATTGTCTCTGGGTTGAGGATATGGCATTGATTGGTCCAGTGCGAGGTAGATGCGCAGGTTTGGCAGGCTTGCTTTCTGTCTTTGATGGCTATTAGAATGTTGAGTGATTTGTTTTTGTAGTTTATTTGTATGTAGTGGTGGATGGTTGCTGGACTGTCAGTGTATATGGAAAAACTGCGGTTATTAGTGTGAGGAATTGTGTTTATGACTGGTTGTTTGTTGCTGTAAGGCTGTAGTGCTTGTATGAGTGTGAGATCGTTGAGTGTGGGGGGTACCCATCTAAGGGTACCGTTTATTTTGTCTTTTTCGTGTAGAGAGAAATTTAGTGTGTAGGGGCCGTGTATTTTTTGGGTGTTGTGAAGCGTGGTGACATCAAAGGTGGTTGAAGAGAAATACCACGTATCTGCTCTTCCATAATTGAGGAGCAGTATTTGTTGGTCGCTGATGAGATGTCGTAGGATATGTCCTCTCGGGGGATTGGGGTGTCCTTTTGAGTGGATAGTTACTTGGATGGTGGGCGAGTCAGCAGGGTAGAGTTCCGGGCATTCTTGTTCAGGCAGATTCAGGATCGCAGTTGTGGCTGAAAAGGGTTGGGCCCTGGATTTCATTAAGCCACCCGAACCGTAGTCCGGGTGGCTCCTCCCCAAGTCTCTCGACCCAGGGGGAACATCCGAGGGCGCAACCCCTTTGGTGATGTTGACTATATTTGCATAGGTCAGTTCTCTAGGAGATGACATGATTGGATGCGTTTAGGTCAGGGGTCGGCAACCTTTTGAAGCGGAAGAGCCAAAAGTTACAATTTTCAAAATTTCCCTGGTTTTAAAGAGCCACTAACATTTTTTTTATATCAAATATATTTTTTTTTTATTAAGATTATTAGTATTTGTGCAAGGAGCTGGAGAGCCGCATCTTGACATCAAAAGAGCCGCATGCGGCTCGCGAGCCGCAGTTTGCCGACCCCTGGTTTAGGTTTATCGCTTTGATCGTGCCAAAAGGCAAAAGATGATTCAAGTATTTTTTTTTTTTTTTTTTTTTTTTTTTTTTTTTTTTTTTTTTTTTTAAATACTTTTATTTTCAATTAAAACAAGTACATCAACATCAAATTTTTAAATATAATTTTGAACACCAAATGAAAACGAAAGGTTTTGCAAATGTACATAATGAATATTTACATAATGTCATGTATTTGATTATAAAAATAAATTGCAAAGGATGACAGTAAAAGGGGTGAAGGTCAAATGAAAGTGTCAGAAGTCTGGGTGGGGAGAGGAAAGGAAATTTTTCAGAGAGGGTCAATGGGACAGTGAAACATTTTCTATGTAGGGAAACAACTTAAGTTGACTAGTTGAAAGGGTGTTGTACTGGTCGCATTTAGTTTTCAAAAGGTTAAAATATATGATCTGAACTAAAAGACGGAAATTAGTTAAATGTAGGCTTTTATTCCGAATGTTTTAAGATGATTCAAGTATAACAAGTGATTTGAGTAGACCGAGGAGTGGGAAAAAATTACATTATATGTAATTTAGTTTAAATGAATAACATTTCATTTTACGAGTCTCAATGTGATCAAACCGCTGAATCGTTAACATACTATATTTTTTTCTTTGCGCTTCTTTCCTAATGAGACAACCAAACAACATAATAATATTTTTTATTATTATTGTGACATACATAACCCGCAAATATTGTAATAAACAATTAATATTTAACAATAACTATTGACTCGATATATTTTTTGAGTGATCTCCCCTTATTTATGGTTTACCATTCACTTTCTCTGGGATCTGCGAACTTTCAGTTCTCACAATTAGTTAACATGGAAAATTATCGGCCTGCTTCTGCGAGCTCAATGGTGGACTGACCGTTGGTGAGTGACGCGTTATATAACTTGGTCAAGTTATCAAATGCACTTCCGGAAATAAATAGTAGTCGGTACGGAATTTTTTTTTTAAAGGAATTCAAAAGTGAATAAAGGCTGTATTTTCCTGAAAAACGGATAGAAAATATACATAAGTTGTTAATGATACACAGACTTTGCACATACAAAGATAGTTAAATCACACCTCAAGGGATAATATAGATCACCTTTATGGATTTGATTAGGTGTTGAAAACTGACCTGAACGCGGGTCACCACATATTTTTGTTAACAATGCATTTTTTAATAAAAGGCTTGGGGGGTGTCCATAAATGACGTTACACTCGTAGGGGAGAGGGGGGTCCGTAATTTTGTCACGGTGTGTGATGAGGAGGAGGGAGGGGGGGGGGTTCAGATGATGTGACGAAACACTTTTCCGTTATAAAAAAGCAATGTTAGAAAACGATTTTTAGCCGTTATTTCGCGTTTTAGAAAAAAATTCTAGTAAATTGTAATAGGAATTTATTGAAATATTCCATGTTGACAGAGTTCAGACAAGATTTGGAAAAATATCGATGTTTTAAGAAAATTTCAACAGCAATTTTTAGGGGTGGGGATTGTATGCTGGGGTGTGACGTCATTTTAGGAGGGGGGTCTGGCTTTTTGTGACGATGTGTGACGGATGGGAGGGGGAGGTAAGAATAGTAAAAAAAAAGCGTGACGTTATTTATGGATGACCCCTAGCCACAACACCACATGTAAAAAAAAAGAGCACTGAAAATAAAACAAACTTGCTTTCTTTAATAAAAATAATTAGTCGCTCATGTTTTTGTCACTTGTTGTAAAAGAAAAATATTTG